AGTTTGAAAACGTCAGCGTTGTACGATGCATACGATCAGGTATTCGGCGACTGGTTAGCGGAAGGAATCATCGAGGTGGTGCCAGACCAGGAGATCGACCAGGAGGCACACTACCTGCCACATAGAGGCGTCGTTAAAGTGGAAAGTACCACTCCTTTGAGACCGGTATTTGATGCATCCGCTAAATGTAAGAACTTTCCATCACTTAACGACTGTCTGGAAAAAGGACCCAATTTAATTGAACTTGTTTTTACAATCTTATTACGTTTTTTTGAGATTCTTGTGGTATGACGAGCTCGGAAAAATAATTGTTTACCGACATAGCCGAGTAGTATTTGGTGTATCTTGTAGTCCTTTTTTTTTAGGAGCGGTGATTAATTATCATTTAAAAAAAATTAAATCTATGTTTAAAGACGCAGATAAGAATCTCACTAAGCTGATGGAAAGTTTTTACGTGGACAACTGCGTAACGAGTTTAAGTACGATAACCGAAGTTGAACAATTTATTTACGATGCGAGACAGGCTATGAGTAAGGGAGCGTTTGATCTCAGAGGGTGGGAGACTTCACATTCAAAGACACAAGACATAGATATTCCGGTATTAGGGCTTATACGGGATAAGAACGATGATACGTTGCGTTTAGTAATGCCCTCAACTGAAAATATTATGAACGAAAAGATTACGAAGCGAGTAATACTTTCCTTTTCTCACCGCATTTACGATCCAATTGGTTTTGTTAGCCCCGTGATGATCACTCCTAAACTTCTACTACAACAAACGTGGATCTCTAAAATTAAATGGGATAATGAAGTTTGTGACGAGATACGAAACGAATTTAAGAAATGGCTCAAGGGTTTGGTACGTTTAGACGAGATCCGTTTTCCGCGCTGGGCATTTGATGCGCCAGTTCGCGATACGAGTATAACGTTTCATGTATTTTGTGACGCTAGTAAAAAAGCATATGCTGCGGTGATTTTCGCGCGCGTGGAATGTGACTCTCAGGTCAACGTCTCGTTTGTCTCAGCAAAAGCTAGAGTAGCTCCAGTTACTACTATGACGATTAATCGACTTGAACTTTTAGCTGCCTGTATGGGCGTTCGACTGGCGCGTTCTACTGTGGATTCTCTTAAGATGACAGATAAAGAGATAACATATTGGAGTGATTCTAGCACCGTTCTATTCTGGATCCAACAGAATTGTCCTTGGGCATCCTTTGTCGACAATCGCGTTAAAGAAATACGAAATATGTCAAATAGCCAATCCTGGAGGCACATTCCAGGCGAGTTTAATCCGGCAGATTTGCCGTCGCGAGGATGTACACTCGACACACTGTGTAGGGTGAATTGGTGGAACGGACCGGAGTGGCTTAGGGGGGCTGAATCTGAGTGGCCGGTTTCGAACGTAGTGATTCACGAGGACAAGATAAAGAATGAGATACGTAAGACTGCCAAGGTAACGGGTCAAATCATAGACTCTGAAATTGTGTCAGCGATATCACAAGTGAATCGTACTATTGAGATTCAGCCTTTCTATGTACCCAGTACTTCTGACTTTTGCACTGTAGTAGGAGCAATTGCTCGTATAAAGCGGTTTGTTACTAATTACAAATTGCACAAATTGGGAAAGCAGAAACTAAGTGGGGAATTAACGCGCAATGAAATCAATGATGCTAAAAGAACTGTTTTGGCAATCATACAGCGAGACTCGTTTGATGGAACTGACGACATACGATTGCGTAATATGAATGTTTTTGTTGCTGAAGATAGTTTAATCCGGATGAAATCGAAAATATTAGAGCGTGATGATAGTTTTTCATTTCGTTATCCAATAGTCTTACTGGGAGAAAATCTACTAGTTCAAATGATGATTCGCGAATTTCACACACGTTTGGGACATGTTCATGTCACCGCCTTACTCAATGTTCTCAGAGAAGAATATTGGGTAATACATGGCCAAAAGGTCGCACGTAGTATCGTAAGAAAATGTGTCGTCTGCGCACAACAGAATGCTCAACCTTTCACGGTAGCGACTGCTCCTTTACCTATGAATCGCGTTCGCGACGCTCGAGTGTTCGAAATTGTGGGAGTAGACTTTGCAGGTCCATTGTTTCTAAAAAATGATGTAAAAGCATGGGTTTGTATTTTTACATGTGCAGTGTATCGGGCGGTAAATTTCGAACTCGTGTCGTCTTTATCAACCGATAAATTCATAGAGGCATTTTGTCGGTTTGTAGACAGAAGGGGACAACCGAGTACAGTTTATAGTGATAATGGGACTAACTTCGAAGGATTTAATAACTTACTGAAACGAATTGATTGGGAAAAAAGCCTGAAAGCTAGCCTAGTGCCAAAAGTGGAATGGAAGTTTAATCCACCAAGTGCTCCCTGGTGGGGAGATTGGTGGGAGCGATTGATTCAAATTTTGAAACGTATGTTGTGAAAAATACTTGGTAAGGCGTGTTTAAGTTATGAAGAAATGCTTACTGTATTGTACGATTGCGAATCTGTAATTAACGCTCGACCCTTGACTTATTTGTCTGACGATCCTCGGGATCTGGCTCCCATTACTCCTAGTTTGTTTCTGCAAGAGATCTGCGAAGTAGGTTTACCCGACTGCGACTTTATCGATAGGGAAAAACTGAAGGGTAGATTTAAGTATCGACAATTTCTCAAGGAAGAATTACGTAAAAGGTTTAGATCGGAGTATCTCGGACAGTTAAAGTATGCATCTGCCAAAAGGTCAACCGATGATCGTCAGATAAAAGTAGGTGACATAGTGATTATTGGTAACGATTGTTCTAAAAGGATCGAATGGCCTCTGGGCAGAGTAATAGAACTTTTTCCGGGAAAAGACGGGATTGTAAGGGTTGTGCGTCTAATTACTGCGACGGGACAATTGGTGCGACCTGTTCAGAGATTGTACTGTCTGGAGGTAGATGTTGATGTGGATCCGGAGGAGTTGCGTAAACTGTATGATAAGCGAGTTAAGTCAAAGACGGTCGCTCAAGATCAAAATATTAACGAATTAAAACAAGTACCTAGCGAAGTAGATGTAAGCGATGAAAATGTTCCTATTGTTCCTTACAAAACTAGAAGTAGACGTACAGTAAAACGCGTTGAAAGATTGTAAACTGTGTGTTGATTACATCTTTAGATGTTCACTCAATGTGGATCGTGAATATCTAAAGGTGGGAGGATGTTGAAGGGGTTCTAGATTTAAGGTGGTAATACTGTGTGAGCGCTGCTACCGTGAGCATAAATATTGAAAAGGTTCTAGCCTTAAGGTGGTAATACTGGGATGGCGCTGCTATTGTGAGCGTGGGCATTGAAGAAGGTCCTTAATTTAGATTGGCAGAAGTGTGTAGTAGAATGTACGAAGATCGGTAGCGCGTGCACGTAGAAAACAAGACTCTGTACGAAAATCTTATTGTTATTATATAAACAGTTTAAGTTCTCGCTGGATATACTTCTTCCGTCCACCTCTCTTATCCCGATTATCCTTCGATTATTAACACCCGGAAAGTATTAGAAAGCCCTCCTCGGAAGCTCAGATGCGGCCGACAGTCAATTCGCGTTTATTGCATCCTATTGCGTTTTTGTGAATAGAAGCATACCGCGAACGGTGCGTATCGTGGAATACCGGGTGCGTTGTTGAGAACGTGCCGGGATAAGTTTTATTGCGTGTCGCGAGGAGAAGCGTATCGCGGGCCGTGCGTTTTGAGAGAGATTCGCGTACCCGTGGAGAGCCTCGCGGATACTTTGCCTTGTCGTTCGCGCGGGCAAGTATCGTCGCGCTCGCTCGGCGAGGAGTTTTGCGGACGTACGGCCGAGATATTGCGTTGTACATGTCGTATATGGATATGTCGCGTTGGAATGTTCATCGTGAGTATTGGAGTCGTGTTGTGAACGTTTCATTGTGAGCACTAGAGTCGTATTGCAGACATTTTGTGTTGGTGATTGCAAACATTAGAGTCGTGTCGCGGATATTCTGCGTCGCTTTGTGAATCTCGCGAGCGTTAGAGTCATATCGCGGATATCCTGCGCTATTTATTGCGCCTATTTGAGTCATAGCGCGAAGATTTTGTGTCGCCGATTGTGAGTAGTGCGAATATTGAAGTCGTGTCGTATTTTGTATCGTTTGCTGTGAAGATTGAGAGTCTCGCGGACGTTAGAGCTGTGTCGCGGAGACCGTACGTTGTAATTGCCTTAGGATTCGCGGCGAGGAATTGCGTTACGTTGAACCCGCGGGGACGAGGCCCATATTTGAAACTGAAATATATGATTATTATTTTTGTTACTTATTGTGTGCTGATTGCGTTACGCTTCTTCCTCACTTTCCTCGTCGAAAGACATAACCGACGCCCTGAGTTAGCGTTTATGAGAGATATCTGTTGAGCCGGGAATCGAGTTGCGAAAACGTGGTGCGCGCAATCGCACCTGGCGCCCATTCGGATTGGTTCGTTGAGGACATAATATCGCTGATCTCGCGGAGCTACCGTCTTCCGGCAGGTAATTTGCGGCCGCGCCTCTTTGGCTAGCGAGACCGAAGGAAATCGGGTCGCAATATATATATATATATATGCCAAAGAAGAAATGGGACAAATCGTTTTCAGCGTAGCCAGAATATTTAAAGTGGTCCGGGGGTAGGTTTTTTGAGTACAAGGGTGTCTTCCGCAGGGTGTATCGGTTTGGTCTCTTATGTATTTTGTGTGTGGCATTTAGTAGTTTCTCTGTGCCGAAGGAGAAATGGGACAAATCGTTTTTAGCGTAGCCAGAATATTTAAAGTGGTCCGTGGGTAGATTTTTTTAGTATAAGGGTGTCTTCCGCAGTGTGTATCGGTTCGGTCTCTTATGTATTTTGTGCGTGGCATTTAGTAGTTGCTCTGTGCCGAAGGAGAAATGGGACAAATCGTTTTCAGCGTAGCTAGAATATTTAAAGTGGTCTGGGGGTAGGTTTTTTGAGTATAAGGGTGTCTTTCGCAGGGTGTATCGGTTCGGTCTTTTATGTATTTCGTATTTATCACTCAGAAATGTCTCTGTGCCAAAGGAGAAATGGGACAAATCATTTTTAAAAAATCCAGGAACGTTCCAAACTTCAATCGCTCCAGTAACGTTCCAAACTTCAACTAGCTCCCAGATTCAACATCACAAACACTGAAAACTCCTTACCAAACCATTTCAAAACCGAATCAATATTTAAAAACATGATTACGTTAAATTATGTAGATTTTTCTCCAACTTTCAAGCTTTCAGCCGCCATATTGGATCAGTCATCTTGGATTTCAAAACGAGGCACATGACTTTTGAAAGTACTAGTAAAGACTAATTTTTTGAGCTATCGAACGTCTTTGTAGGTCGCTTCAAATTTTTGGCAGACAAGTGATCCGGTTGACGTGAAACGTCCCATTATATATATATACCTACCAATTGCATATGTACTTCATGTTCCTGCTCCTGTTTAACTGAGACCCCAACAATCGCGGCGGATTCTTTATCCACATGAAATGACTGACGTTCGAGTTGTTTCGCGAATCTAACAGATACAACAGATTAAAGTGAGTGTCCTTATCGTCGGCCAACCGCAAAGAAATGATCTCCTTTTTTTGTTACGTCCCCTCCCCCCAGTGGTGAAAACGTCGACAGACGCGTTGTTGAGTCGTTTGAATCTCGAAATTTGCTTCAGAGTCATAGGAAACTCGATTCCGTCGAAATTCAATTTCGATGAATAGTGAGGGTACGCGCTACACTTATACGGATTTCTTTAAACGGGATACAGAGCAGATACTACCGCCCACGCAAAACACGCGTTGTCCACCGAACGCACGTTAACCACCGCTCTCTTTATCTTTATCCATTGCGACGTTTCGAACCAACATCCGGCATGCATTGGATTGCACTTGTTCACGTTCACCATCAGGTTCAATATACGTGACAATGCCCAGCCATTGTCGCGTTCCTGAAACTCATTCAGATCCGCAAGAATAACATCGATCACGTATCTGTCGTACCATTTTCGCAAATCAGATTCAGGAAGGAGCTGTCGATTCCTCGTGGCGATGCTTTTGACGTCGATTTGAGCTTCTGCGACATTGAAAACCGTGTTGACCTTCAGGCATGCGTATCTCTCGTGATTAACGCGCACTTGTTCGAGCACCGTGGCCCTCGCTTCCTCAAGAAATAGTCGAGGATCGACGTGATTAGCGTTTATCACCACACCGGTCAGTACGCGATTGGCGAAAGCTGTCTCAATCTCCGTTTATGAATGTCCTCTGCTTGGTTCGCCATGACCGGCGCCAACCTGCGCGAAACGTTGATGCAGAACGTCTCTTGCTCCTTCTAATCGCGCCACTCGAGCGATGAGAAAGTTTAACGTTTCTGTAAACTTTGGCCCACGTTTTTTTTACGGCAGGTCTCTCGCAGAGACGCGAGACGCTCGTCGCACTGTCGTAACCAATCGTGATACGCGTTCAACGAGTTGACGCCCGTCGCAAGCTCGACGAGATCGTTCTTCTTCTCCTCCATATTTCGATCGCTCAAGAACGTTTTGACACGTAATTACACGTGTTCAACCACATGGTCGAACCTTCGCTGTCCACAGGTATACTAAATTTAACTCTTCGGCGAATCTCTTTGAATTTTTTAATTTTTCTCGGATGAGTCGAAAACTTCCTCGAAATTCCAAGCATGTAAAACTTTGCTTTAACGCTTTGAGCCACTACAGTCTTTATCCACATTTCCTCACGCAGATACTGAAAACCGATCTCCCTTCTCAAACTGTACGTCGCCAGATTCCATCGAGCGTTCTCCTTCGACGCGACCGCATAGCATTCGGTGAAACTCAGCGACGATAAGTCTTCGAATTCGTTGTCCGTGTAGGACGATATCAGAATTGTCAGATAATGACGATGATGGAGTCACCGTAACTATCCAAATTGGACGGAATTTCGAGATTTTGAGATACCTCCTCCTCCTCTTCCTCCTCCTTGTAATCCATCGTCGCGTTGATACATATTTTTTTTATAATATAATTACGAATAGGAGTGGTACTTTCTACCACGCAAAATTTTTGTAGAATCGAGAATTCGCATTCTCCCCTGGCTTATACAGCGCCCGGCAACGATGGGTGACGGAAAAAAGGACAGAGGTAACCGCGTCGTTTCCTCCAACGATTCCACCCCACACAAAAATTTTTTGCACAACCGAAGATGCGCATTCTCTCTCCCCGCGCCCCGGCAGACACTTTACGAATAGAGGCCTGAGGTAACCGCGTCGTTTCCTCCAACGATTCCACCCACGCAAATTTTTTTTTTTTTGCACAACCGAAGATGCGCATTCTCTTTCCCCCGCGCCCCAACAGACACTTTACGAATACTAGACACTACACAGACGCGCGCTACGCGCGCGCTATTTATCTTTAACATTTCACTATTAACCCTATTATACACAACTGTCAAAATATACAATGACAGCTGCAAATGAAGTAAGCGCAGCAAGAAAACCAATCGGCATCGCGGAAAAGCGGCAACAATAAACTTCACATCTCCTTTTTAGAAAAGGAAAGGCCAGAGGTAACCGCGTCGTTTCCTATCGAGACCGCAAAAATCTCGCGCGTGTCGAACACGTGACAGACAGATCTCCAGCGACGATGACGATCGCGATCGATCACCATGTACCGACGATCGATAATCGTCTTTGTCTCGCTCGCTCGCGCACCCAGACAGGAATTCAACGACTTCCCCGTATTGTACAGCGATTAGTAGTTGTCGAACGTTTCCACGCTTCATCGCTATCGCGGTTACCGTGACCCGTGACCCATGACCCGCGAAAGTCCCGATCCGAGAACGATACGTCAGAGCGACGAATTTTCACAGTCGAAGCGTCTTCGCAGAATAATAAAATCGCCATCAAGTTCCGCCGACGAATTTTCACAGTCAAAACGTCTTCGCGGCATATAATATGATCGCCGTCGAGTTCCACAGATTCGAGGTGAGGTTGAACAAACAAATATTAATATTTTGTGTGGCCTATATGCATATTATTTTTTAGTAAAAATAGTAATATTTTCGTTTCCGTGCTCCCCGACCCCGCGACCGGCCTGAGGACAGAAGTATATAATATTATCTAGCTACT